TATGTAGTTACTATTTTTAAAATTACTAATAAAGATATGAGCAAGGCCTCACCTCAATACCAAAAAAAAAAAAAAAATAACAATGTTATAGTAATTATTAGGATGATTTACTACTTTTTTAGTAACAATACTAGATTGGTTTATTATATAATTAAAAATTCAAATGGAAGTTTTTTTTTAGTAGCATTCATATGAAAAGCATAGTAAAATTATTATAATGAAATTAAAATATTATTTATAATTTTATTTTATAATAAATTTTAAATTATATTATATAACAATATAAGGGTTATACAATGATATATGTAACTTATTAAGTAATAGAGTGCCAAGTATTGATAAATATAGTTTGGCTTGGCATTGGCTTGGCATTGGTTTGGCATTGGCTTGACATTGTTTATTAGTGTTTTAGAAGATTTTACTTGGATTTTCTATATCGCCAAGGTTTTCCAAACATTTTGGAGTGTCTAAAAATATTTTACAACATATAGTAACTTTAAAACTAATCAAATATTTTTTAAAACTCTATAAAAAGAGTAGTTTTTTGCTCTTCTAAAAAGCAAAGTTATCTTTATCTAAATTCCTTTAATAAAATTATATTTTATTAATCTTTTTCTTAACAATATTAATAAAAATCATTATTTATTTTTTTTTTTATATATTTTATCTTTGTCTTTAATAAATTTTATTCTTTTCTTATAAATAATATAAAGTGAAAGCTGACTTTATAAATAGTATTTTAGCAAATACTAGCTTTATATTATTAGGATTTAAAGGCCACATTTAGCTATTGATGGTCTGATTATTAGTGCTTTTTTTCCTCTGATTATATCTAAGGATATTTCTAAGTTTTAAAGTTTAATAATCCTTGTACAAGGCAAGCATTTGCTATACCTGACCTATACAAACTGGACAATAGGTTTAATCCTAAACACAATTGCCTATTGCTAACTCCTTATAGTATCTTGAAGGCTATTGAATTTAAATCCTGTTTTAATTATTTTTATTTTTTTATCTTACTTTTTATTCTCTTTAAATAAAAGATCTTTCACTTGACATTTATATTTTTAAAATTTATTAAAGCTTGTTAGTTTTTAGTAAATTTTATTACAATATAATATAGTATTTATAAAAAAATTTAAAAAAATGTCACAACAAAATTTTCAATTAAAATGTTCAATTTGTTTAAAAACTATCACAAATTATAGAAATATTACAAATAATCTTAAATTTAAAATTGATAATTGTCCTGATAAAGAATATTATCAACAACTTCAGCCTAATATTGATAAATTATGTTTTAATTGTTATATGAGAATTATAAATTCTTATCAATGCCAAATATCAACAATAAATAGAAATGATGAATTAAATAGTTTAATAGAAATAAATTTAACAGAAATTAGCAAATTTAATAGTCCTACAAATTTAATAGAAGTTGATGATTTAATGAAAATTAGCAGATCTAATAGTCCTACAACTTTAATAGAAAATAATAATTTAGTAAATTTAATAGAATTAATTAAAATTCAAAAGGAAGAATTAATTAAAAATAATTTAAATGAAATTAATCAATAAATTACAAATATTAATATTAATATAACTGATAATACAATTTTAATGGATAAAGAAAATTTTAATCAATTAATTAAATTAATTATTCAAAAAGATTTAAAGATAGAAACTTTGAATAATCAAGATAATCAAAATAATTTAATTAATTTAATTGACGATTCTCCAGTCAACTGAAGAATGATCATAGTGAAACGTGACGTGATTCTATATATAAATTACTATA